CAGTAAACATTGCACCCTTCGACCACTGGAAAAATACAATTTAAAAAGTAAAACAATAAAAGATCCGAAAACCTGGTCAATTAGAACTCCAATTCTCCAACAAAACTCGATATTAAGAGTGTAATAGATTCAGCATCGAGAAAATAAAACAAAAACCCGGGTGATTGAAATACCTTCTGAAATGGAGTCTCGGTAAGATTTTAACGTTAGAAGAGGGTGTTTTTCTTTGCCTTCCTTTTCTCTGATTTATTACGAGATTTACCAAATGCCTCGAAATGAAAATCAGAATGCAATATTATGCAAAATATCCCTTCATAATTGACGAATGGATAAGAAGTCTTTTTCAAAGTTCAGTGACCTTAGAGTAATATTTTAAAGTTTGAGTACCTGTAATTACAAAATTAATCAATTTATATGGACGCCCTAGGGCCTAGCGTCTAGGCTTAGAATGTAGGCAGTCATGCTCGAAAAATTATGTTTAGCCTCCATGAAAGCATTTTTTCAAAATTTATTTTCAATAATTCATTATTCTATAAAATAATTATACATATATTTCAAAAAAATTTCCTTACTTTTTAACAATATATCCTTCAAAAACCACCATTTCATAATGCATTTTATCCCAAAAATGGAAATCAAACAAGGGCTAAATACATTTATACTTTTGTTTACATATTGACTCATGTTATTTGTAGTCGTTCACTATCGTAATCGTTCTACGTGACATATATATGGTGGTTAGTGATTTGATACATTAATATAGTAGTTTTTTATTATCTTATATAACAAATCACTAATTGCAGCATATATGTCGCATTGGGCGACTACGATAGTTAACGACTGCAAATATCATTTCTCTTACATATTTGTTTACAGCATGCTGATTTGGCAATTTTTCATTGGCTTGGTAGATTAGATAAACAAAGGTGTACAAGTAGCTTTACATTAAATGTAATTAAGGGAAAATTGCACCCTTCATTGTCAACCATTAGGGTACTCTCACGGATTGCAAGTTTGGCTCTCAAAGCTCAATACCTCAAGACAACCTTTTTCCTCATTTTTAGACCGACAAACCTAAAACCAACTACCCCACATGCACGCATATTGAGAGAGGAGCGCTCTCAATGCATGACATTCTCCCTCATTCAACTCACTACGAGCAATCGTATACCCATTCATTTTTTTCCTCCTGAGAATCGAAGTCTCTGTAGTCATTTATAGTCCTCAAGAACGGAATCTTTTCCATTCCAAGCCTTGAATTGCACATGAACATTCCATGCAGAAGTCCTCCAAATAGTACATCAACATTGGCTGAACAATCTCTCTCATCCTCCTTCTAAATAGGTGATGACGAAAATGAAGAAACAAGACCGTCACTGACTTCGAGTTTTAAGAATAAAATTAATTAAAAGTATGCAAGGAATGATCATAATAAATTTTCCCGTATTCAATTGATATTGATAAATTTTAGAATATCGTGATTTTTATTGACTCTAATTAGCAGGTACAATATATTATCCAACAATCTTTTCTCCTCTTTTTAAAAATCAATACAACAAAATAAAATAAAAATATTAAGAACAATGATATTCGTACATTCTTTTTTGTACGTCATTGTTGACATTACAAGTGTTGCTAATAATTGATTAGATGAAAAATTATCCAAATTTTAAACTGTCTAATTTTATATTGCTACGTGGCAAAGTGTAAAGATAGTATACATCATGATATACACCAAGCATGATTAAAATATTAATAAGTGATATAGTTGAATCATGCAAAGCAAGTTGGATTCCCTTGAGTAATAATTGAAATTTGTTTTCCATATTTTAATTATTTATTGCAAAATGTTAGGTGGGCTTTAAAGTCAAAAAAAATTGTCGGGCCGTGGGCCCATTAACACAAAAATTCAAATGTCCCGACAAAATGAGTGCGCGCGGTGTGTTTTATTACATTATCAAAGTGTATACGTGTTTTTATTTTGGAGTTATTAGATATAAGATTTATTGGATATGGATCGGTAGTCATATTGATATTGTTGAGTCAAGATTCGAGTTAAGTCATATCACATATTATCGTACTTAATCCTCGAATACTAATTGCACTGTTGAATTGAGTTTTGATGTATTCAACTGGACTTTGCGCAGACTCTACTTAAGTCGCAAGCTTAGCTGATAAGATTTTATTGATCGAGCTTGCTACTTCGTTCTAAAGATCATTAATATTCTAAAATGATTTATTTTGTCACACCAATTCAATAGGTTTAACGACACCTCGTGAATGATCTCGTTAGCTTGAGCACAATAATATTTTCTCGGAGAATTATTAATATTGCTCCTCACCTAAACAATTATACACAAATAAATAAATAAATTTTACAATAATGCGTTTGATGTGCACTATTCTACTCATTGGATATGTATCAATCAACTAACAGTGCTCTTTACCAAATTGGTCGGGGACATGGGATTCTCTTTTAAGTAAAGTAATCATTTGAAAAATAATTTCAATAATTTGCTTTCTATTTTTCCTAATCTGTCGACTAAGAATAATGATATTTCGTCAATCTATATGATAATAGAGTTGTTATTGTACATTTAAATGAACTTGAGATGCATTTTTATATATGAAAATGTGAAAGAAAAGCATGAACGGGTGTAATGTGATGAATAGCAATATAGCTTTACTATTTAGCTAAATCAGTGGTTGAACGAGAAAATATCCATTTCTTTTTCTAGTTTTCAACTTCTTCTTTTTTTTTCTTTTTTTTTTTCCTTTTTTGTGAATTATGAATATATTTTATATATTTATGCACGAGAAATTAAGATTATCTTATGTGAGCAAATTTGACTTTAATTTTTTTTAATTGCCACAAATTAAACTAGTAGTTGAATATCGACTATGGAAAAGGACGCTCAAAAGTGATGTAACGACAATGTTTATAACGAAAGAAAATATAAAACAAAATGATAAAAAATACAAATAACATGAGAAGATGAATTTTATTTAGTTAATTAATTAGTATCTGTATAAATTTAATCCATAAGAAGATGAATTATTTTGCCTAATTTCTATATATAATTATGATAAATTTTGGTTCAAATTAAAGTTGGCCCATTATGACATTGTGATATTGAACTCAGCCCAACCCCGAGCCTGGCCCATTGAAATGATTATTTATTTTAGTTATTGCACTGGAAAATAAATTGTGAACTAAGATCTTTAAGCCCCTCTTTGAACTTACCATCATGTTGTTGAGTCGACTGGAATTTAAACTCTTGATCCAAGTAACAAGAATCGAAGAGAAGCGTATTGAGAGTTCCTCAAATACTATTTAAAGGGCATATCATCATTAACTATCTCTGCACCATCAGCATCATGGCCAATTGTCTCAATCCCATCGACTATCACCACCATGACCTCCAAAATCTTAGCCTATTCCATCGGACCTATCGTCACCTATTTCCAGCACCACATCAATTATAGATTTGCACTGCCATTACCACCAACACTTTTCCTTCTCTCATAACAAAAACGTAGAAATCCACATCTAAAAAATGAGACTGGGATTTCAAAAAAAAAAAAAAAGGCAAAAGAAAAATATTTTTTTCCCCATAGCGGAGGTGCGAGGTGATGAAGATGGAGGAGATGGTGGTTGAGAGTAAGCAGGAAAAGGAGAGATATAGAGAAGATACGGTGGACGATAGTATTGTGTTTGATAGAGGTGTTGGTAGTCCAAAATGATTGCCTACTTCTAAACATGTACGGTGAGTTTTTGTGTGTTAAAAAAAAAATGTTAGTATTTTATATATTTAAAAGTTAGAGCAATAACAATAGAATTTTAAAACTACAAAAAGCTTGTGTACTATCCCTAATTAATTTGGTGCATTGAAATGATATATTCCTTGTGAAATTTGGTGTACAATTTGAAACACGAAAACTAATGAGGAGAGTGTCACGAAGACTTTTAGTACATAAGTAGAATTAATTGAGGAGATAATAGAAGGAACAATGCAAAAAAGTGTGCAGCTAGATAGTATGTGCAGTTGTGATCAAATGTTGATATCTTAACGATCTATTATCTAATCAAAATGAAATTTTGTTAGCAATTTCACGACCCACTGTTCTCTAAATCTAACTATAAAGAATAACACATAAAACTCAATAACACGTAAAACTCATAACTTTAGATCGATATAAATAAACAAAACTTAATCAACTTAAAATTTGAGAAAATGCAACTGTGACTAATAGTCTATACAAATATTAAAAACATACAGATAATAAACATACAAATATTAAAAACATAGAGGCAAAAATTAATTATTTTCTAGAACAATAGTCATTGAAGACGACTACTTATAAATGTGATGATAATCGTCATCGATAGTTGTTACTTGTTACTAAGTGATAATAAATATTATGAAGAAAGGGAATTATTAGCACAATATGGACAATAAATGTTAAAAGGAAAATATTTAATGACACGTTTTGCTAAGATTAAAAAAGTTTAATTACAAGTGAGAATTTTTGAAGAATTTTTTTTTTTGCATTAACTAAATTAGAAATAATCAAATCACTTATTTTTATTGTTAGAAATTATGTACGTTTAAAAAAGTATAATTCAAACTTACTTTAATTACTATTCAAGTCAAAGATCATCACCATCCGCCCTTAATCATTTTGTCTCGATTTTACAAACTAATTTTCTTTTATAAAAAAATTATTTAAGTATTTTCAATATGTTAGAAATAAAATAAAATAATTTGAAATCATGTCTATAAAGGCCATTCAAAATATTTTTGTGAATAATCGGATTGCTTCAAAGCATTTTCTGACTTTTCTTGACAAAATATTTTTAAATACTTTATACTACACTTATTTTTATTACTTCCTCTCTTATATCGTTAACAGCAAGTTAGGGAAACATATAGTGTATGTTTGGTTCTGATTTTTCACCTTAAAAAATCAATTTTTTAATCGTTACTTTCTTAAGTCAGTCGTCATTTTTGACTTCTTCTCTCACAGATAAGATTTATTTTTCTCTCTAACGGTCAAAAAATTTATTCTCATAATCCCCAACCAACAAGTCCATAACTAAAAATTGAGCATTTTTGAATTATCATTTGTCAATGCTCTTGGAACAAATTTTGAAAAATTCTCCAACAACCATCAAAAATAAGTTATTCGTTTTAATAATAAATTAAAAGTTAAAAGCTGCTTAAAAATATAATTAAGAAGTAGAGAGCTGGAATAAAGTACATCTACTTCAGCGCAAGGTTGAAATTAGATGTAATACCTTAGGCATCAAATATTGTACCTTATCAATATCCAGACCAAACACAATTATTATTAATTATTAACTATTTTAAATTAAAAAAGGCCAGAAAATAAATAATTGCATTCAATGTCAAAACCGAGGCATTTTTTAGCACTCACATACACAGACATAGTTATAGTGAGAAAGTGCGTGGGGTGGAGAGAGAGAGAGAGAGAGAGAGAGAGAAGAAAAGAAGATATCGGGATCGTTAAAGACTTGCTGTTTACTGATGTCTACTCTAAAGCCAAGGATCTAGAAAAAAAATATTCATTTGGATTCAATTCTTCTCTCTCTCTCTCTCTCTTCCTGCTATGGAAGGTAAACCCTAAATTTCGGTTTTGTTTTTTGTTTTGTTATGACTGAATTATGAATTGGTTTTCATTTGTTATTTGATTTTCTAAGAATTACTTTCGTATTGTATTTTGTTGGATAATTTTGTGTTAGATTTTTTATCTGTTCAATGGGAATGGTAAATTGGTTAAGCATAATTTGTTTTTCATAGTTTCTTTTACAAATTTCTGTCCCGATACCATGCAGAGACTGTGATTTGCGGTTGCTTTATGAGACGATCAACTTTGAAATGGATCTCCTCTAGTGATTGGAAAATAGAATTGCGTCTTGTGGTTGGGGAAACTTTAGACTGGCAAATAGACATTGATTATAATATTTGTGTATGTGTAGTGATGACATAAGCCAGAAAATGAAATGGAAAAAATGAGAAGGGTAACTGTTTTGGATAGGGTAATAACTGTATAGCTACGAGGTTGCTAAATATGATTTTGACAACTGCACTGCTTGCTCTTGTCATCGTTTTCTAGGCTTCTTGAGGATGTGCCGTGAGGCAATCCTTACACGAGAGCTTCATTCAGAGCCTCAAAGCTTATGCTTTAAAAGCCATTTGTCAAGTCTCGCACCTTGACTTTCTGAGGCGCATGTCTCTGGGAATGTCACTTGCAGCTGAGGTGTGCTCCGCAATCTTGTCCCTTATAGGCATTATTGGGCTCTTGTTTCGTAATTGAACGTTTACAGGTTTTCTAGGTATAGTGTATTGAGGCGTAAACTTAATGTCAGGGAGGCAAAATGCATTGATAACCAAGTTGGCCTTTTAAAACACTGGCCTTTGTAATTATTATAACTGAAGAGGAATTCTGTTTAATGATTTAATCTACTTTGTGTTGTGGTTCATGGATTACCAACTTTTTAGTTGGTCATTTATTTGGTATGTTGAGGGACAGCTCTGAAATCTTTTGGAATTATTATTTGACATTCTTTTATTAGAATGTTTGCATTGTTCTTCTCTGTCTATCCTGGTTCTGCTTCCCCCCTTCAGTTAGTACCATTTTGAGGTTGTTTTTAGACTTCAGTTAATTGCTGGCTCTATTTTATCATAAACGTAAACTCATTCATGATGAACTTCCTGAACCAACTGATAGATGTGTAAATTTCAATATATTGATAGGTAAATCCCCCGATTGGGATTCGTTGGAGTCTGGTACAAAAAAATCCAGTATTTCATCGGGTGGTCTGGCTCAAGATAGAAAAGAGTTTTTTCGTAGATTTGTGGATAGTGATCTATTGACGGAAAAGCTTACATATTGGCTTGAGAATAATGCTGAAGATAATACGCTGCCTGCATTTGATGTTCCTTTTGAATTGGTAGATCTTCAGAAGTTTGATTATGCACTCGAAGGTGTTCCCTTCCAGCAACTGATTCGGATGCCTAGTGCTATTTATGCATCAACTCCTGGCACTTTTGAAGCGACTGCTTATCTTGCTCTTGAGGACTTCATGCATGCAAGTGCGAACAGCTTGTGGGAGTCTTTCTGGGGTCAGGAGAACGAGCCAATGCCTTTCTACGTTTCCTCTTTGTATACTGCAAACTTGAGATTTTACCAAGCTGAGAAAGCAATTGCTAAGGGTAAACTTGGAGGACTTTGTGCCACGGCTTTAATGCTAAAGAACCCTAGACATTCACAAGGAAACTGGGATGATATTCTTGAATTAGCACTTCTGAGGCCTGACATTGCTTCAGTAGAAAATGACTCTAGACCATCACTTCCAATTATAGGTGAAGCTTTGTTTTTTGCTCTTCGCATATTGCTTGCAAGAAGTCTCAACAGATCAAGTACTCCTCTGAGTTTGAATTCTGTGTTTGTTCTAGTAGTCGATTGTCAATATGGCGGTGTTGTAAAAGTCGAAGGGGATTTGAGTAAGTTGGAGTTTGATGTAAATAATGTGTATGAATGTTCTGCTGCATGGATAAGAAATCATTCTCGAATTGCCATTTCCCCTATTGATATGATCTGGAACAAGCTTGGAAATGCTAACTGGGGGGATATTGGTGCTCTGCAGGTACTTTTTGCTACATTTCATTCTATCACACAATATGCTGGGATGCCTAAGATATCAGTTGAAGATCTGGCTGCCGACCACAGTTCCCGTCTTCAAGCTAGAAGGACTGAGAGGCAGTTAGGGGGTACAAGGGTGAATGGAAATGGCTTGTTTCGGTTCCAGCAGAGAAGTGCTTCACCTGAAATAGTGGAAGTACAGGAAGAGTCTGCTAGAGTTGAATCGGATAAGTTAATGAAGCTAGAAGTAGGATCTGTTTTATGGTTAGAGGACTCAGATTGGCAGAATGGTTATCATATTAATGAAGTTCTGAACGATGGTGAGATCCAATATCATATGGCATCGCCTGTTGAAGACACAAGAAAGAATTTGTTTCTGTATGTTGGTTCACATCCTTCACAGCTGGAGCCAGCGTGGGAAGATATGAAGTTGTGGTATCAAGTTCAGAGACAAACTAAAGTATTGAGCATTATGAAACAGAAGGGCTTATCCAGCAAATATATTCCCCAGTTGAGTGCGTCCGGCCGGATAATTCACCCTGGTCAGTGCCGGAGACCAAGTTCTGGCGGTAATTGTGACCACCCATGGTGTGGTACTCCTGTCCTGGTAACCAGCCCAGTTGGCACGACTGTTGCTGACATGGTAAGAATGGGCCAATTTGGATTAGATGAGGCTATCAGATGTTGCCACGATTGTTTATCTGCTCTTTCTACAGCCGCTTTGGGGGGAATTCGGCATGGGGACATCAGGCCTGAGAATGTCATTTGTGTAACATCTGGTGTAAGGCAGCGTTACTACGTCCTCATTGGTTGGGGACATGCTATTTTAGATGACAGGGACCGTCCAGCAATGAATCTTCATTTCTCTTCTACATCTGCCCTTCAGGAAGGGAAGCTGTGCTCTGCTTCTGATGCAGAGAGCCTGATATATATGCTTTACTTTTCTTCTGGAGGGGATTTGCCTGTTCTCGACTCAGTTGAGGGGGCACTTGAGTGGAGAGAAACAGCTTGGTCAAGTAGGGTGATACAACAAAAGCTTGGAGATATCTCAGCTGTGTTGAAAGCATGTGCAGATTATGTTGATAGCCTGTGTGGAACACCTTATCCGATGGATTATGAAATTTGGTTGAGAAGGTTGAAAAGACATATTCGTGAGGAAGATAATGGGAAGGAAGTCGACACATCTAGTTAACAGTAAGCTTTAATTTCACCAGCACGTGTTTTCATTTCGGGATATCCTTACCGGATTTATGACTCTTTTGTTGTAGAAGATGAAAGGTAAAAGTTAAAAGGAAGGAATTGAAGAACATCCAGTGCCTGTTCATGGAGGAGTTTAAGAAAGTAACAATATTCTTCATTGTTTTTGCTTTTTGTAAAGAGTTGGCATAGAAATGTATGTATCAGCTTTCATTAGTTGGTGTAAAGATTAAGATCCGTAAAGGTTGAAAATTTTTATTTATATAAGCTGCCAAATAAGTTGAAAAATCAATTTTAGGTATAAATATTAATTGAATAAATAAACCCAACTAAGATGAAATGGAAAAAAATGAGTTTTACAGGAATATAATAAACCACTCGTGGACTCACCATGAAAGTTTTTCACCTCTAAGATAGTGTAGAAGGAATTTTAGGGACACTATGTTTGCATCCCCCGAATCAAAATCAAAGCAGTGTCGAATCTTTCATGTCTAATTACTATTTTTAAAAAGGTAAGAACGCAACGAACAACTCTTTCTTATTCTGTGGTTCTTGAAAGCTATCGATCCCCATGCAAGGAATTTACAACTATCAAGCAAATGTGAAAGCTATAAATTCCCGTGTGGGAACAAGCCCGAATAAAAAAATATTATAAATTACCATCAAATGACTTATGGGATCTTATGGGATGCATGAATAAAAATAAAGTTTCAACAACTTATAAATAATTGTAAGCTTTCACATTTGCTTTGGAGAAGGGCTTTAGTCGAACATATGCCTATTCATAGGGAATCCGAAATGAAAGTAGACTGCTACTTATCCGGCAATCTCTAATCTACAAACAGAGTTAAAGCAGATACAAGGAAAACAGCAAAAGATTACATTGTAGAAACAAATATGGTAAAGAAAAAAAATTCGGATTTCCCTAAATAATATTAAACTCTAGTTTCCATAATTAGCATTGATTCTGTTTCACAATTGTTGAATTGATAGTGACGTTCAAAATTATGGAAATATTTCGGTCTTTAAAGTTGGAAAATTTGTACCTACGCAAAGCACACGCCGATTCGCATCCATTGACATGACTGGAGGTTCACGTTCTTTTGATGGCGCTAATCCACCTATGTTGCCGCCTCCGCCTCCGCCTCAGCCGCAGCCGCCGCCAGTCGGCATACAGCTCTGCATCCTATTCTCGGTGGTTGTCTTCGGTTTCGTCTGCATGTTTTTCTATCTCAAACTCTCGGATAACACTGACGCTTCTGAGCCGCCAGCCAACGATGCTGCGGCTGCCAACGATGGCCTGAAGAAGAAGGTCCTGAAGTACCTTCCGAAGCTGACCTACACCGCCGCCAACGACAACCTCTTCGACTGCGCAATTTGCCTGGCGGAGTTCGTGGCCGGAGATGAACTCCGAGTGCTTCCTCCGTGCGGTCATGGTTTCCACGTTGAATGCATTGATACGTGGCTAGGACTTCACTCCTCCTGCCCCTCTTGCCGCGGGAAAGTAGTGGTTACCAGTTGTCAGAAGTGCAGCGGCGGTGGCTCGCCAGTGGCCAGGTCTTCTTCCTCCATCGAGTCTGAACCAAGCGACGGGCGGGAAATAAAACTGTCCATTCATATTCTACAATTATCTTTAGATGAATAGACGACGTCGTTTTAGACCTTCAACTTATGTCTAATACAAGAAGTACATATTATGCTATTATTTTTCTTTCATGGATTTTACTATTTGATTGAATACTATCGAAAATTTGTCATAAGTAGTTCAGAGCATGCGCTGCAAATTACTTGTTGATGCTTTACTTATTAAAACAATTAAAATGATTAATTCAAGTGCTCAAGTAACTTACTTCATACTTTCGAAAAAGCTCAAACAACCTTTAAACATAAAGGTATCAATGCAACTGATATGTGGGTCGGTAAAGAATATCTAGAAGCACACAACAACTCTCTTCATGAATTCGATAAAATAACCTTCTAATTTCACAAGAAAGGGTGCCCCTCACAAAGGTCATAGTTACTAGACCCAAACGATTGTTTATCAAAATTACGTCTTCGCGTGCAATAAGACAGTGTATAAGAACCGAAGGTCAAGGAAGCTGAAGACCTGAAGTTTAAGCTTGCAACTAGGTTCGTCCTAAGGCATGAGGGTTAGTAAAAATTGTTGCCCATGCTTTACCAAATGCACTAATGCAGGCTGCTTATGAGTCCAACATGGCCCACATTTTATCTGCGGGCCAAGCTACCCCACTCTCCAGAGGCGGGCTGGGTTTGTTGAGCACGTACAGCTTGGCCCCGATTTACACCTCTAGGTTAGTCTAAAGTGGCACAAACATGGAGGGAGGGGGAGCCTACAAGAATTATGTGATAAGAGTTTGCAATCCAACAAATCTTGTAATGAAGGAGCAGAGCATTGTGTTGGAAACATAAATATGACAATAGTACAAATATTTAAATCCAATCACTGGCACAACTGTAGAGTTTTACACAGGAGAAAATATAGCCAAAGTTCCAAACGAAAATTGCAAAATCAGACACACTAATCCGCATCCATTTCTTCGAGAGCAGCCTTGGCGGCTGCCTTGGCTTCCTCTAATATATCATCTGGAACCTGAGACATCACCAAGCCACTCCAATGATTACCATAATTGAAGTATTTACAAATAATTTGTATATATAACATACCCCAAATATTGAAGGGGCACGGGTACTGAAATTTCGATATACACATCCAACAATTAAAGCCCCGGGAAAGATATTAAAATAAGATAATGTCAAAACATAATTTTGCAATCATAAATTATTGTCAAACATCAACTCTTTGGAAGACAAGATTAAAAGGAGAATAAAAGTTGTTAGCTTGTGATGAATCAGTAACAAAATCAGTCACAAAAATCAAATAATAATAATAATAATGAATGATCAAAAGATTGAAAACATATACCAAATGTGTGGTCATTCACATGAGCAACGTTCAATTAGGTATCAATGGATGCCAAAAAGTGGTAAAACAGCAAGGCGTCACAAGCTAATGAGAAGCAAAACTAAGATTTAGCATGTATATATAAAAGGTCTTGAGAAATTTCATTATTTACCTTCTGATGCTGGCGGTTAGACTCGTCACAGACCCAACTCATTTCCAATTCAAAGGCTTTGTCCTTTGCCTCATCATGAACTCCGTAAATTCTGCTTATTAAAAGAGGATATCAAAAGTTAAAAGTATCCACATTAATCTTCCGCATGTCTACATTTTTGCAAACTGTGAAGGGCAACATAACCAAGTACACTAGCATCATATTTGGAATATAAATGGTAGGCTGGTAGTGACATAAGTTAAAATGCAGAAAGCGACAAAAGCTTCATCAGTCGGACGCAGTGAATGTTGATGGTGCATCTAAAATAAAACCAGTTTGGCAAATTTAAATCTGTTTTGCACCCGAAAATATGGGGAGGGAAAAACTTGTAGCGAAAAGATATTTAAAGATTCATGCCAGATGGATCTAAATGTCTCACTTCATTTGGACGAAAATACTTACATCTTGGCCACCTCAATAACCCCTTGTCGGCAGGTCATTTCAGAAAGCTTCAATTTTTCAATCTCACTGTACAACATTATTTTGACTCCATATCAGTATTATAACATAACAGAACATAAAAAGAAAGGAAATTCTGTAATGAACGAGTAGATATATTATATCAAAAGGTCAAATAATATAACAATTTTAGATCAAATAAAAGAATAAATGTAATCATTTAAGGGGCGGAATATCTGCTTCATTTGTCTAAACAAAGCCGAATTCGTAACACAATCATAATCTGCTTTGGAAAAAAAAAATAAAAATAAAAAAATAAAGAAGCAACAAAATATAGCAAGGACAAAAGGGATATTGCACAACACCTTCAACATGAGAGGCATAAATTCATGTTATTTATTTTTCCAGTTTTGGTTCCTCTAGATGTTTCAAATAGTAGGTGGGAACATATATACGAAGAGCAACATGGGGAATGCACATGTATAGAAAAATTTCATACGTTTTAGCAGCCTGCCTGCCCTTCCCAATTGCAGCACCAAAGTATCTCTACAACAAATATTTTACCAAATAAATCCAATGAGAATTTCCTCAACAAATAGAACCAACCTAATATGAAGTAGTTCTAGAGCTTAATAAACATTAAAAGCCATAGTTATCATTTGCAAATAATGGAAACAAATCAACTCACATAGGAAACTCCCGAAGGTTCAACCATGTACAGCTGTGGCCCATCCCTGTCATAACCTCCCAGAATTACTCCACTTCCAAAAGGCCTGAAAATGTCATACTAGGATCACATATAGAAAGCAGTTAAACAGAAAGAAACCTTTAGAATTTGATCAGATGCAGTAATAAACCTGAGCCACCAATATAGTGTGCATAGATGCACGTAACTTGCAACACGTTCTGCAAGTTCTTTAACTGGAATTGGTTCTCCGTACACACTGCAAAGCCGGAGAATAGCAAAATATAAGAAGCAGATAGACAATAGGTAATTGTTTGACAGTGTTACGTGATCACACTGACTGAAAATTAAGTCCAGGCAAAAATCACTGTTGTTTTGCTGAGTTGAAAGCTTCTGGGTATCCAAAGATTTTACCCAACAGCAAAGAAAAAGGTGGTATCATCGGGCATTGCACATGGGAATAAATGTTAAAAACCCCTTTATAACATTGGGTAAAATATACACAATCACACTTTCTTTTTTCTTCACGATTCATGTTGGTCTTCAATATATGGCTGCAAAAAATCTCTAATGTCTATTTCTCCTATTTTGTGTTAGTGTTAATCAGGATTTGTTCAAAGGAAAAGTGCCGTAGGTGATTTAGTCTTTGTATGATATCCTCTAAGCTATTTAGTGACATTTCCATTTTCTTTCATTTGTTTTCATTAGTTGAATGTCCTTTTTGAAATTTGAATGTGTCCATACAAGTGGACAAATTGATCATACATTGTGCAGTCTTCTTCAATACACTAGAATACTTGTATATTCTCTTTATTAACAAAATGGTTTTAAGCATACTCCATCTGTCAACTATCTTGAACACTATATAACATTAAATCAATGTTTCTCATATTCCAGTCCCTAGTGAAGCCAAATACATCTTAATTTCCTATTCTTCAACTCCCTATGATCAGATTTATGTCCTCTATAAAATCGCTGACCACAGTAATCCTGCAGCAATATAGAGCTTAAATCAGGAAAATCTAAATTTCTTACTTTGGTTATGGAATACAAGGGTCATATTACTCCTTTAAGATGAGATAAACATCATGGTAACTTAAGGATAACCTTACTCCAGATCCAGTCAAAGACAAATGAGTGGGTGCTTTTTGGGAGGTCAAGGAGGGAAAGAGAGACTACGCAAAGCTTTCAGTCTCTTCACTCAATAAGTTACAACGTGTTAAATCTACTATAAAAAAGTCAGAAGACAGATACAGAGCAGCATGCAAGATAGCTGTAAACTAAACCTCTCATAGTTAGTTGCTTCAGATTTTGCTCGTGCAACAATTTGCCTGCCATCTGCAGCTAATCCCGCAACAGCCTGCAAATAGAAGAACATCAGCAAGGACACAAATATATTTCAATTAGACAGTAATAGAGAATAACAAAAATGAATTCCGTCTAACTGCCAGTGTATATTGATGACAAAGCAAATCTAATTCTTTTTATGTCTCTTCTGCTAGTTTATTTCTTGAAGATTTCGTTACTAATATTCAGTAATTTGGTCATTTAAAAATCAATACTTTTGGCGATTGTATCCTGCCTCCAGCAATAGCTCGCGTCAAACATTCAATTTGAACATGACATCCAACAAAAAAGAGCATATAAATTATCAAATTTCTTACATGACCATAAATCTACAAACAGAAGTATAATAAAAATGTTACCATGCCGGAATGGCGGTGGACGGCATGGATTCTTCTGTTGGACCCGGGCAACATCATCTTCGAAGTAATCAGCTTCTCCACTCCCTAATTACGTTTGCACACATCATAATTAACAAAAAACAATAATCAGAAACCCTTACAACTAAAATTAATTAACATCAAACAATAATAAAGACATAGAGACATACCAAGATGATTCCGTCTTTGCATTTGATACCGACGACGGTGCCGCTGTTGTCGACGGCTTTTGCAGCATACTCGATCTGGAAAACTCGACCGTCCGGCGAAAATGTGGTCACAGAAAGATCGTAACCCGTGCCAATGCTGCTCATCTTTCTCTCTCTACAATTTTCAAGCTTTCTCTTCTTCTGCTATTCACTGATACTCTCTATATAAATGTATTTGCGATTGGGTTTTGAATCAGAGTGGGTTTTCTTTTGGGTCAAGACATTGTAGGGGAAGCGGAGGGGGATAAAAATGGAAGGAAATTTGCATATTGAAATTACAGTTATACCCTCTGGACCTTGACCATGGGCTTGGCTCCTGCAGTTAGTTAGGACTCAGGCATGATTTTTGAAAAGAGGAAATTACAAAAAAAAACATGTGTTTAAAAAACACAATTCTAAAACTAGGTTTAAAGTTTAACAATGCATTAATCAGGTTTTCATCAACAATTAAATTCCCCACATATTAAAATCCTAATTCATTTTATTAAAACCCCAATCGTCCCCAGCCCCACCTCTCCAAGACCTGTAATTATTTCGATACTTCCCCTTCCCTCCCTCTACACCCCTCCCCTCTCTCTTCTTCTTTACTTACCAGATCACAATCAGAGGGGATGCCGCACCGGAGACGCCGGCCGACAACAATTGCAACATGACGTCGGCATTCAGCGATCTCCTTTGTTCCTTCGGCGCCTTTGTGTATTCGATGCAGCATAACAACGGATTACGATGACTTTGCTCGAAGATTGCCTTTGTACCTTCGAATCTGAGCGTTGTAGTGGCGATCTGCGTGATGTTCGATGTTAGTGGTGGTTTGACTTTGGAGGTGGCGACGGCGCTAGTGGTGGTGTCGTGGTTCGATCTGCAATTTTTACATTGACTTTGCTTGAAGATCACTTTTGTGCCTTCGAATCTGAGCGTTGTAGTGGCAATCTGAGTGAATTTTTTTTTTTGTGGTGTTAGTGGTGGTTTGACTATGGAGGTGGTTTGACTTTGCTTGAAGATCACTTTTGTGCCTTCGAATCTGAGCGTTGTAGTGGCAATCTGAGTGATTTTTTTTTTGTGGTGTTAGTGGTGGTTTGACTATGGAGGTGGCGTCGGCGCTAGTGGTGGTGTAGTGGTTTGATCTGCAATTTTGGGGTGTGGGGGGGGTTTTGGTTTTTCGATCTGGTGGTGGTTTTTGTTGGATGTGCAAGTGGGGTGGTGGCGGTGGCGGTCGACGATGGTGATAGTGGTGCGGTGGATCTAGGCATGATACAGGTGGTGGTAGGCAAGTTTGGTGACTGGCTCGTGTGATTTGTTTGTGGCGGTATGTGCGGTGGTTTTACTGGTGCGGTATGGTGGTGGTGGCGGCAGCGCGGCAGCGGTGGTGATCGGTGGTCGCGAGGCAGCAGTGGTTGTATTGATTTTGGTTGGCCAAGGGTAGGGGTGTCCATGACCAACAATTCCCCGTCTGTGACCAACTATTTGGGCGTTTGTCACCAATTATTTGGTTGATTTGTGACAAAAAATTAGGTGTTTGTGACTACAAAATAATTTGTGATCAATAAACTGTGATATGTGACCCATAAATAAAATGTGACATGTAATTTGAATAATTTGTGACTTCGAAATAATTGTTTTTAACCACGAAATAATATGTGACCAATTAATCGATGATACGTGATCAGTAAATAAATTTGTAATCAATAATATGAATCTGTGACCATTAATCGTATAATTGTGACTTTGTTATATTTAATTAATAAATATTTTTAATTAATTATACCAAAACCTGAATTTTTCATTTTTAAACTTTGGACATGATTTGTGAATTGGTACAAACAATATACCTGAGTTATGAAATTTTCCCTCTTGAAAATTTCAAATAAATTTTTGAAATCCAAAAGTTTCTTTCAAATTCATTTGACTAATTTTATGAAAAAGCACATTCTAATTATAAAAGATTTTAGAGAAAGGTGATCTAATATAACTTTCTCTAGAAATAATTTCAAAATAGAAAACTATTTAAAAAAATAATTTTTAAATAAAAATTATTCAAGAAGCGAAAACATGCCCAACGAGCCCTTATTTTTGTTTGGGCTAGAAGTAGTTGGACGAGAGTGACACCCATGACAAGAAGATTGGTGATGGGACAATTTTAAGTAGCACATCTACCAACTTTTAATTTTAAAGTAAATTCTATTCCATACGTGACAATAACTATAAAGGCGTAGATAGTCGAGGGCAATCCAACTGACGGCAGACAAATGTTATAATTGATCATTATTACAAGGTACGAGAAAGGTCTTTAGCTCTCAACATTGGTTCCGTATAAAGTACCAAGATCAGTAAGACTAGGTACAATCATTTACGTGAACAACCTTGATTAGCATACAAACCACCAAGAAATTGAGTGAAGCATTAATTAAGGAGGATGAGTCAATTTTTTAGTAGAGGACAGGAATTTCGAGACAAAAAAATTTGGACTTGTGATATCGGTATGTTGCCGAAAATTAGGGATAGAAGAAATTTTACACATAAAGAGAACACGAAATTAATTCGAACCTTTTGACATGAAAAAACTTCAAATCTTAGCACCATACTAGCATAGAGTAAGGTAATATGAGATATACAGATACCAGCATATCATGATGATTTTCCTCCAAGCTTGTAGCATAAAGAAACCAACCAGCACACAAGAAACATCCTTAATGAGGACAACTATGTCATACGACTCTTACGCTAAACTTTGCATTTACTGGTTGACACTTTCAGCCTGAAGAAGTCCCTCCCGAATCTGTGCAGCAATATCTTTGACAGCACCAGGTCCGTGTGGGATGAACACGGCAGAAGACTTCGACGATGCTCCAATTTCCTTCATTGTATCAAAATACTGCGTGACGAGAACCATGTCCATGACATCTTTGGAGGTTGTTCCGGGCACATTTGCTGAGAAGGCGAGCACACTGTCCCTGAGGCCATCTACAATGGCCTGGCGCTGCCGAGCAATGCCAAGCCCTGACAAATATTTAGATTCAGCTTCTCCCTCAGCTCTCTTGATCTGCAGTATTTTTTCAGCTTCGGCCTTCTCATTTGCAGCCAGCCTGAGCCTAGCAGCTATTTTGAACATTGACAGATAAATAGAGTAAGCATTAGTATGGTGAAGCACGAGCTAGCAAAATCACAAAGGGATATATCAGGAAAACATAAAGAAATTAGTGTGTAAAGCATTTTTTGCTACGCTTAAATAGTTTACTTGTATGTAAATTTTCAGACAAGTAAACTTAATCATTGCTCAAAATTCAAAATGAGTAAATTACTAATTTTGACAATAATGTAAGAGTCCCTTTCAAAATAAGTAACTTTTTTTTTTTTTTTTACCTTGAAAGAAAGAAAAATAATTTATCCAGATATGTTTGAAAATATAAAGTTCTTAGTACACTTTTCGCCATTGAAAAAAAGGAGCAAACATTTCATCATATATGTATAAAATGGTTTTCCTGTAACCTATATCTCGTTGACGTGCAAAAGCAGTTTCAAGGGAAAATATGCCAAATGACGGAGTCACATCATTAAGCAAGAATGTTCATATACAATGCACTCCAGTTTACAATTTTAAGTACTAAAAATCTCAAAAACCTACCTGAATTTATCTCATTCATGGCTCTCTTAACCTGTGCATCTGGTTCAATGTCCACAATCAGGGTCTGCACTATCTCAAATCCATAGGCAGACATTGCCTACAAAGGTAACGACAAATGCATATGATGTACAGTGATGTTCAAACGAATATAGTCATTGAACAGACATGGCTTCTTTTATCAAAGGCGATCATAACCTTTGCAAGTTCATCCTCCACAGCCTTGGCTATGTCATTCTTCTGTTCGAAAGTAGAATCCAGATCCAATCTTGGGACACTTGCTCTGATGACTAAAAGATTCACACCAGTTTAGACAATTAATTCTGATACAAAATCCCGAATTATAAAAATCACTATCAGCTATTAGTCTATTAAATTTCTCCATCTATAGTCCTCGTAATCATTAATAACAAACCATAATGCTTTTAACGCCAAAAGAGTAATTATTAGCTAGGAGCCACTGAAAAAAAAAATAAAAATAAAAAATCCTTGTGCAAACAAACATCCTCACTGAATTCAAATAGATCTCATCTCCAATGAATTAAACAGACAGTAATTCGGTTTCTTACCCTTTAATTTTAGCCATTTGCTTCGCCAACTAGCAATTTAACCAAGCCACATCCAAGATCCATTTAACATATATGATTTTCAGGACAACAAAATTACTCAAAGGTGGGAAGGAATATGCATGCATATGTGTAATTTGTGTATGCCCCAAAGCAAATTAATTTTCAGGACCAGACAAATATACCAACAAGAGGTGGACTGAGTTTGTGTGTGTAACAGCACATAGAGCAAATAAATTTCAAAATCAATAGAGAAAATATAAGTTACTATATATTACTTAAAACAACATACTACTTATGAAGAACCTCGAAGAAGCTTAACATAAATTGACCAAAAATAAAACATTAACCATCAATTTCGGATTGACAAGCACGTGACAGAAAGAAAGAGCAATTGACCCTTTATGCATAGAGTAAAATGTTAAAAATCCACTCAATTTTGTCACTCGTTATATTTTATTTCATGTCAAAGCAACAGCTCATCTTCATAAAGAAATTACTAATGTTAAAACTCATCCCAGGCGCAAATATTAACCCCCCCCCCCCCTCCATCTGTGGATCTGGTAATCAAGGAGGACTCAAGGAAAGGAAATTATCAATCTCAAAATGCATGATTATGTCAAAACTACAAGTTCCACAATGACCCTCACCAATAACCTAACACTAAACACATATAGGTAGCTCTAACCAACTTAGAAGTAAGGAAAATGGATGAACTGCTCCAAGAAGTCTCCATAATGATTTACGGACAATAATCCAATGATTTTTCACCTTCAAAACCGAAGCAAAGGGTGAAAAGTACCGAAGTACTAAAGGGTGCTTGTGGTTTTAGGTTCCTTGGATTGTATTGTAATGGTAACCACAGGAAGATAGAAAATGGGGCATGATCCTACCTCCACTTTGCCCCACACAGAACCAAATAATATAAATCCCAATTTAGGTCAATAAGCTAGTTTTACAGCTTCCATTGCGATTGTCTCTACTTTGCCGCAGAAATAACTAAAGAACATAAATTCAAATCCTACCATCGAAAACATATGCCTGGATCTGTGCCTTTGTGTTGGAAAGCTTATAGAATGCATCAGCTGCTTTTTCTGACAAGGCTCGGTACTGAATTGAAGCAACCACAGTCACAAACACATTGTCCTGAAATATCAACCGCTCTCATACTTTATTAATTTATCATATTAGAGCAGAGTAAATGTCAAAAAGTTAAACACGTCCCGATTTGAGACAACCTTTATTGAATTTTATTTTATTTTATTTTTTTTCCTTTTCATTTAGATGGGGGCACTTAAATAATTTGAAATGGAAAAGAAATTGAGGGGTTGTTTGACAAAGCCTTAGATAAAAGTTTCATTTTGATAAAAATTGATGAAATGTGCACTAAAAAACTTGATAAAAGTTTTGGATCCCATAAAATATGGAGTTAAAATTGAATTTAGACTAGTTGAAAGTATAATCAAACACGCACTAAATATTAAATGTCAACAAGACATTTGAAAAAATGAAAAAGATTGTGACGGACTATTTTTTGGAAAGGTCTGACTGACAGAGAGAAAGTTCATATGCAAATATTCTGGACAAAAAATTATTAACTGCATATGAACATCCCACAACCATAGTTTTGTATTCTATCCAAATAACACAAGGCAAGTGTGAATCGCTATGGAAATTAAATTTAGCGATATGATGAAAACCAATGTTCACGTGCTGATATGTTTACAATGACAAATTGGAAATGTGAACTATCAAGTAAAATGGAGAATCACCTTAGTTTTGGTTTCGCAACGGACATCAAGCTGTTGTACACGCAATGATAGTGAACCTGCCAACTGATACCCCAGACACCAAGGCAAGCAATGACACCCAGGCTCGAGTACATCATCAAATCTGCCAAAATGTTCCTTCACTGCAACGGTAGACTGATCCACTTGAACGCAACCAAATGCTTGACCCATCTTTCGCCTATAAGAACCAACACGGATTACAAATTAATAAATGTTCACACAAAACAGCATAATTATAGAAAATCAATAGAAGCAATTTCGGAATCCAACTTTCTACTTCCAAGTATACAATAATATCATGAAACTATAAAATCCTTAAACGATTTCTCCAAAAAAAGAGAATAATAATTTCAACACAAACGAAAACCAAATTCCCCACAGATTCACGCTTACAATAATTCAATTATTACTCAATCGAAGTATCATCAGGAAAGGGAAAAAAAATGTAAAAATCATGCGCGAGAAGAAAAACTCACAATAACAGAGAGAAAGTCTAGGGTTTGAGATTCAGAGAGGTATCCAATGGTAAGATTACATTACTCGATCTAGAAATGGATCTAATTAGCTCTAGAATTAAACGGTCAGCCTTCCAATTTGCCAAATAAACTCGTTTCGTTTGCCAGAAGAACGCTTTGCGATGTTTATCCATTCCTGGTATTAATCAATACTTAAATATTTGCCAATTTAAGGACTCGGAAATCAGTACTTTTTTTATTTATTTTTTTGAAAGATTAATTCCTAGTATTAATCAATACTTAAATATTTTTAATAGTAAAATAATGAATTCCTAATCCTAATTTATTAAGCCCATATTCGGTATGGATAAAAATAAATTAAAATTTCAATTCAAAATTAATAATTAACGGTAGTTATTTACTTTATTAGACTCATAATTTTTTAATCCTACATTTTATCAATTTTTATTAAAACTTATTAACTTTTTTTTTATTTAAATCTACGCCAAATAGGAGCTACTTGACATTTTATTATATTCTCATTCCTGTGGAGTTAGTTATGCGATGTGCCAAATTTCTTGTGTCCATGAATTAAGTCAAACGGTTCCAAAGCAGTCCATCGAAGAAAAATGCTAGTAATATAATTGCAAGTTATAAATATGAAATTGAATTGGTTATACTTGTATTGAAAAAAATATTTTGAGGATAATTAAAAGCACGTCAATTTTTTTTTTAGAGCTAACTATAGTAGTCGTCCCACGTGACATCCTACATAGCGATTTGTGATTTGGTATATCAATATAGTAATTTTTTCTTACCTCATATATCATATTACTAAATGTCACATGTATGACACACGTAAGGTGATTGCCACAGTGAGCGACTAAAAATAGTATTATTCTTTTTATTTTATTTTTATGTCTGTCTCTCTCACAAAATATAAAACATATATATTACCCATAAGTATTCAATAAATAAAATGAGACAAATTAAACACTATAATATCATTAATCCCAATTTCTCATAAATTAATTGACAAGTTTATTCCATTTTTTTCCACTTGCCAACAAAGGAAAATGACAAGATACCAATGCACAAAATGGAGAATAGTTTTCTTGGTGAAAGCCACTTGAGATAGTGAAATTCATCTTGGAGAAATTCATCTTGGAGAAAATAAATAATTGTTTCCTTTATTCTTAAGTTTGGAACATCTTTCAATGATGTCTAGTGTACATCATCATGACTCCATTTTATTTTCTGCGTCAATGACACCACTTTCGCTTGTTAAAAAATAAATAAAATTGTCAACTCTTCAAAAAAATATACGAGAAAAAGAAAGGTTAATATGATGTTTCTTAAACCATGTTCGAGTTCAAGGAAATCTTTTTTTTTTTTTTTTAGACAAGTAGTTCAAATACAATCAGGCATGCTCTAGCATAATCCAAGCTTGTGAGCTTTTCCCTATCAAAGAAACCTTCCCAACTCAAATTTGCAGACAAAATATGGAGAGAGGGAGGGGTGGGGGGTGGGGGAGCCTCCTCTAAAAGCTTTGGAATCCATGGAAATGGGAGGTCTTCTATATGCAGTACAACTTATTTGTATGAAATCCAAACTAAGTGAACTCTTGTCTGGCTCGAAAGCCAAGTGAAAGGAATGCAAATCATTAGAACACCATTTAGAGTGTCTCAATAATGAATAGAAGTTTAGAATATCTGTTCTTCTGTTGGAACCAAGGTGATCTCACCTTTGTTCAACAAGTCGTAAAATGACCTAACTCGTTTCTGCTCATTCCAATGATGCATTTTCCATATGCTACCAGCAGCCAAGCCGAGCGCAATTCCAATAACAATTTCCTTCACGACACTTGGTCCTTTCAAAGTAGCATGAGCAATCCTAGGGCCAGCCATTGAACTATTTGCTAGAAGCCTTCAAATACACCAAATAACACAATAATAGATATAGCAACCATATACAAAAATGATGCAAACACAATACCACATTGTGTTATATTAATGACAGAAAAAAACAACTAGAAGAAAAGCTAAAATACAAGCCAAAAAAAGTGATTCTAATCGATATCGTACATATGTAGAGTTTACTGCATCTCTCCTCACCCCCAGCCCAAGGAAAAAAGAAGAGTTTCATTGATGAATGAGTGAAAAAAAAAGGCTACCTCTCATCAAATCTTAGAAAAGGAGAGACATTTAGTCCACGATTGACTCTCATTTTTTCCAAACTCATTTTCAACCATATTTCATGGGACCGACAGTTTTTATCAACTTCTCAAACAAATATTTTATTAATCTTTTATTAAAATCTACTAAAAGTCAATTTTTTATAAAAACCAAACATGGTCTTAATAGGTTGATCAACTGTGTAAAATTCTCAAGATATCAGGCTCTGGTTGAAATAGAAACTAAAAGAACTCCATTCCTTTTGCCAAAAACTGAATTAACTTTCAAATTGTCTAAAACCCACGCCATTACACGTTGGTTACTCATAAATCACATAACTAAAATTCTTTGCAAACCACAAATGCTCTTTTTTCAGCTCAAGGAACAAAAAAAGAAAAAGAAAAAATGCAATCTACAGGCAATTCCACATGAATGAAAATCAAGATTCCAGTTCAAAACCTGAAAATGCTATTATTTAAAGGCTATATTTTCTCATCAATATTAACATATATATGTCTACACTCTAATGCAATGTGCTATACAGTTCAAGCACCAGAGTTCTGTACTGTGATAACTAGGTAGAAAATACTATCACTTTGCTAAACTTTTCGTCCAGTCATAAATACGAATCTTTGGTGGTTCTTCTTCCTGAGAATGCTAAAATACGGCAAAAATCAATACTAAACAAAAGTTAACAACATGAATAAATAAATCAAAACTAAAATAGTGATTACTGTAGATAACTAAATTTTAATATGCACATATCATGTTTTTCTATAAAATAAAGAGGAATCCCAGTAACACCTGAATAGCTGCTACGATGAAGACAAGTTACAAATAAATAAACAGATTTTCTCTGGCAAGCCTTAATTTTCTAGATGAGATTGTTATTCATAACAAATAAAAACAACTGGAATTAACGTAAAATTTGAAGTCGCAATCTGAAAAATAATACGTTCTTTCCATGGTGCAAAAAATCAAAATTTTTACATGCAATTGAAGGAGGAAGAAGAAGGGGGGGGGGGGGGGGGGGGGGGGGGGGGGGGGGGGGGGGGGGGGGGGGGGGGGGGGGGGGGGGGGGGGGGGGGGGGGGGGGG